CGGGCGAGCCCCGCGCGGTCCCCGAAACCTGGACGCGGGAGCCTAGGGTAGGTAGGCGGAGGGCGCGGGCTGCGGGAAGGCTGTCACAGTGGGGTTTGCGGTTCATAACCTGTCACGCAGAGTCTCGGGGACTGGGAGAAGCCGAGTGAAGAGAGGGTGGGAGAGCCTCGGTTTCCCCGCACGTTCGGGAACGCCTCCACCCCCTTCTTCCATCCTTACTCTTTCCCGCTTCTCCCTGGACTCACCTGTTTATTTCCATCGCTCAGAGGTCTGGGATTTTTGTTTGTTTGTTTTTAAACGTGGGCCAAAGGGGCTGGGTTTATCATTATTATTAGCAAGATTATTGGGGAGGTGAGAGGGTGTTGCTGAAATCGATGCTGGTCCAGGTCGGTTTTCAGGGAGGGGGGAGGGGACTTGGCGGAGACCCTGGCTCCCGGCCGCAGCTGACCCCGGGGCTCCTCCCCTCCTTCCCGGTGAGGAATCCTTTCCCTCGCTCTGCGTAGCCAGCTGCCACCTTCCCGGAGAAAGACCACACCTATGCTTCTTCACGCTTTGGAGGCGAGGTGAGCTTAGAAGCCAGGCACTGACCTGCCCACCAGGGCTTGGCCAGACCTCCATGCCCCAGAATTGGGAAAAGGCGCTTCTTTTCACCTGCTGATAGCGTTTGGTACGTCAGCCCTCTAACCTCCAAGAAGTTGCAGTTTACAGTTTACGTTAGAATTTGTCTCTTTTTCCACCCTTTTCCCATACCCCCAGCAATAAACTGTTGGGCTTAAGTTAAGAAAGAGTGATGTGCCCCCCCCCCCCCCCCCCCCACCCCCGATTTTTTTTTTTTTTTTTAAATTCTACAACGGGTCTTCCACTCAGATCTGCACTTCCCCGGTCTCCTTTACTCTTCCGCTAAACTTAGCCCCGAACCAGGCCTGAGCTTTTATTCCCTGTGGGCCGCACCCTGGCCCCTTGCCGTTCTCTAGAGCCAAATGCCTCCCAAGCAGAAGGCACACCCAACCCAAGTCTCTTACAGCAGGGAGGGAAAGAAAAGGGATGGGGGGGCCCTCGGGTTCCGGTTCCGAATACCCCAGTAGCATTCGCCTCTCTGAGCCTCCTACGTGTAATTCCTAAATTCTTCCTAACTGCTGTTTCTTCAGCCCCCTTTGCTCCTGGCCTTATAGATGTTTGGTGGGAGTGGGTGGAGACAGATAGTCATCCCCCCCCCTTTCCTAGAGTTCAGCATTTTCGCCTCTGTCTTTTCTTTTATATGGTTCACATATAAAATATGCAAGTGTAATTGCCTGCTATTAGAATTCATTTTCTTCCTGGCTAGTGACTAACTGGGACTCCAGTGGGAAGGAGAGGAGAACGGTGAAAGGGGAGCACTCCCGATGAAAAGGGAACACTTGGGGCCATTCACCACCCAAGTGTCCCCAGAGTTGCCAGGGAAGATCCTTCTGAAAAAGCCACCTCTCCCTTCCATGACATCACCACCTCAACCCTTCCAACTTTAGCTTCAGAACAGGAAGAAGGCTCAAAATAGAACTACCTTAGGAATCCAGCGCCTTCACCAGATCAACTTTGAAACCAGCTGCTGGGGGAACCAAGTGAACTTTGACCCTGAGCCAACGGGAAGAGAAAGCTGTTGGAGACAGCGGTAGGAAGTGTTTTTCTCAAGGTAGGCTGGGAGACCCAGGCTGGTGAGGAGTGATTTGGTGTGGTATATGTTTATTGTTCATATGTCTTGGTGTGTTCATTTCGAGGTTGGTTTCTGTGGGGAATGCTCTGCAGTCCTGGAGAGTAGCCCGGGTGGAGAAGCTAGCAAGGGGTGCCGAGATGGCGGGCGGCCTTTGAGTGTGCACTGACAGCTGGTCTGTGGAAGTTGGGAGACTTAGTGTAAACAATGGTTGTAACTTTCACGGGGTGACTAACTCCCTAGACAAAGAAGCCCCAGTGTCAAAGTTTCTCTCTTTTTCCTTGGAAATGAACCCCAGTATCAATTTTTTTTTCAAGACAGGGTTTCTCTGTGTAACCCTTACTGCTCCTGAACTCACTCTGTAGACCAGGCTAGCCTTGAGCTCAGAGAACTGCCTCTTTTTGCCTCCTGAGTGCTGGGATTAAAGGATGTCCTACTATGCCGGGCTGCTATCTCCAATCTTAATGTCCCCATATGTCTATGAATTGCAGTTTGCCTTTCTCCTTACCAAGCAGGCTTTCCAGAAACAGCTGCTTACCAAAGTATTACAGGAAATGAGAACAGTGGAGCACTTGGTATATACTATATCGAGACTTGTTGGTCAGTGGGGTAACATCTTTCATTCTGATTCAGGTTTAAAAGAATCCAGTTGACTGACAGGATTGTACCTGCTGCTACAGTAGTCGCTAGCAACCCTAGGCATCAGCCATCAGAAATAGAAGCTGATGAGCTGAAGTTTTAAACTTGTTTAATTTTTAAAGTCTATACTTGACTCAGGTATTAAAAACTTAAGTATGTTTGAGAAACAAGCATTAGCGTATTTGTCTAAGTAAACTACATATACTAAACTCAGATTAAATATCTCTTGTAAATTCAGTAATGCAATCAAGATATGTTTTAAATGTAAGATACAGTGCAGATTTTTGAAGACGGTATAGAAAAGAAAGACAGGTTATTAATATGTCCCTTATTTAATTTTCGGGTGTTTGCTTGTTTGGTTGTGTGGTTGGTGTTTCCGAGACAGGATTTTTCTATGTATCCTGACTGTTCTGCAACTTTCTTTATAGACCGGGCTGGCCTGGAATTCACAGAGATCTGCCTGCCTCTGCCTCCCAAGTGCTAGGACTAAAGGTGTGCCCCACCCAGTCCAACTAATTTTAGTTTTTAAAAATGTGGCTCCAGAGAGTTTACAGGCACATATGAAACTTTGTAACTTTTTAAAGTCTTACTTTGTTTAGCACCTTAACTGTGTTCTGTAGATAGTGTGACATCACAGCTGACAGAGGCCTCTTTGGGACTACTTTGGTCTACACTGTCCATCCTTCCGGCCGTGGATTAATTGCAAAGAGGCCCATCAACTGTCTACTTTCTACTGCTGTGGTGCATGGAAAGACTGAGCTCCTAGTGTCTGCTTCTCAAGAGGTTAAAAAACAAAAACAAACAAACAAAAAAAAACCTGAAATTGGATAGCAGTGGATTGTGGGAAGTTTGGAAGAACCAACATACCAATGAGCAGCTCCTTGTTTAAAAGGGAGTAGTAGAATGTGTCAGAAAATACGAGGTGACAGGGTAGCGGTTAGGACACAAGTTGATAATCTTGTCAGTTCTGTTCCCTTTATTTTCTTTGCCTTTCCTTTTAATTTAATTGCTGCTCCTGTTTTAGAGCTGCCAGGACTGTCTACTCCTTACTCGTCAAAAACAGCAACCCAGCAAAACCAAAGAATAAAAAACACTGCTTGGGGTGGGGGGTTGTTTTGTCTAAAGAAATTCAGTAGTGGCACCGGGAGGGTAGGTATTTGCTTGTTTCTTGAGACAGGGTCTCATTGTGTAGCTCTAGCTGGCCTAGAACTCACTCCATAAACCAGCTTGTCATCAAACTCGGAAAGCAACCTGCCTCTGCCTCCTGGGTATGTTATCTTCTTGTTTTCTAAATGGCAGCTGTCCAGTATGATGCAAAGAAAGGAATCAAATACACAGTTTTGTTGATAGCCAGAGAAATGAAGAGCCAATATTTGCTGAACGTGTGGGCATGACTGATAAGTAAGTACTGAGAAGGGACGTGAAAAGAACACTGTGTGACTTCTGAAAGAGCTGACTAGTCTCTACCTACACACAGTGTCAAGGGGTGCAGGGTCCCCACTTAATGAGTGGGGTGTCACGGTGGCATGCCTTGCCACTAGAGATGTGTTCGTCTTCCAGGCGTCAGGACAGTAGTGAGCATGGTGGACCCGCAGAGAAGTGGTGTGTGGTTATACTTATGGTCTAGCCAAAAGGCTCTAGAATTGGAGATCAGTGTTAAATCTTTGGTATTATCCCCTTTATCTGTCTGTGCATTAGGGGAATTTCAGAACCTGAGACCCGACATTTAAATGGCAGTGCTTCAGTAAAGAGGACACTGTAGACCAGCAGAAAACCATCAGACACTTTAGGGATGGCTGCTGGTGGGTGGTCATTCTGAAGTTAAGTTCTTTGATGGGAGTGGTTTTATCACCTAGATCAGGAGGCGGGTAAACTCCAGATCTCCCTGCTGTAATTTTCTAGTGCTGGGATTATGCCTAGCTACAACTAATCCTTTTTTCTCTTTGTAATGAGTAACTTTGTAAGAGAAGCTGTTTGGCTGACTGGTTCCTTTTATTGTTATTATTTGTAAATCTTTTTTTTTTTAAAAAAAATTTAACCTTTATTATTTTTTTTTAATGTGTATGGTTGCTTTGTCTTTATGCATGTCTGTGTGCCATGGCAGAAAAGAACACCAGATCCCCTGGGACTGCCTCATGGGGGCTGGGAATTGAACCAGGTCCTCTGGAAGACCAACGGTACTCTTAACTACTTAGTCATCTTTCTAGCCCCTATTGTTGTTATTAAGATGGGGTCTTGCCCTGTAGCCTAGGCTGGCATTTAACTTACTGTACAGCCCAAGCTGGCTTCAAACAAATGAGTTATTTTCCTCAACCTCCCAAGGGCAGGGAGTGTGGGTGTGTACCAGCACACATTGCCTCAGTTGGTATGGTTTTGATTATTGTAAAAGCATATTCTATCGAGGTAAACCCGGAGTGGATAACTTGTGAGTAAACCTATAAAATCTAAATTCTGGGTATAAAATGCAATCCAGAGCAGACTCTAAGTAAAGTAACTTGAGTAGACTAAATGCATTTGCACTGAGTATTAAAAAGAAAGGCTTTTAAAAGACGGCATGTGGGTCGATTTACTTATTTTTTGGTCTCTTGGAGCCTTTTTAGGCTAAAATCATGATGAGCTTGAGGAACAAAACTTATTTTCTCTGCTTGTTTTACTTTGCTGTCTTTAATTGTTTTTATTAAATTAAATTGTGCGTGTGTGCGCACGCGTGTGTGCGTGTGTGTGTGTATGCCCACGTGCATGCATATGTGCTGCTATGCACGAGCCATGGCGCTGTGTGGAGGTCAGAGGACAGTTTGTGGAAGTTGTTACCATGTTAGGTCCCCAGGGATGGAACTCGGGGCATCAGTTTTCACAGTTTTACCCATTGGGCCATCTTGCAAGTCCTTTGCCTGTGTGACCTTGTACATGTCTTCTCTAAGAGGGTGTTTGCTTGTTGTCCATGTGAACTTGCTCCTGGGCAGCAGGGGCCTTTCTTGAGGCCAGTCCTTGGAGTGGAAGGAACAGTGACACCTTTTTGGTGGAGCTGTGCGTGAATGTCATGGCTGGCGGGTGGCTTCGAGCAGGACTTTTTGCCGATCTTTCTCCTTGAGGGAGAAAAAAAACCCTGTAACCCTCCCCCGGGCTTCCCACAGTCTTTTTTCTTTCTTTTTTGTTTGCTTTTTTTTTTTTTTTTTAATTGTTTTGGTTTGGTTTTTGAGACAGGGCTTTTCTGTGTAACAGCCCTAGCTGTCCTGGAACTTGCTTCATAGACCAGGCTGGCCTCGAACTCACAGAGATCCACCTGCCCCTGTCTCCCGAGTACTGGGATTAAAGGCGTGTGTGAGCTACAACACCCGGCTAGCAAGTTAGTTTCTCAAAGTTCAGTGCAGCAGAGTTTGAAGTAAGGTGCACGCTCCATGCACATTCTGCGTGCTCCAAGCCAAGCGGGTGCTGGCGTCCAGCCTCCTCTGTTAATACATCGATGTCATATTTAATATTGTCATTGGGCTGGCTTATGATTTTCAAGTTCAAGGGACTATGAATTTACATTAGCAACAGTTTTAAAACATTCTGACTTACAGGCAACTTCAGATGCCCGCAGTTATATAATATACAGTCAGCATTTAATGGTTTTAGGTCATATGTTAATTTTTTTTAGCTTCCAGAGGGCAGGAGTGGGACGTGTCTTCAGTCTGGCCGTTGGTATTTTGTGTCTCTCCAGGGCAAAGTCTAAGGCACAGCACTGTCAGTGAACAGCTCGGATCTTAAGACATTTTCTACCTGCACTATGGAAAATTGGTTCCCTTCTTTTTGTTGTTGTGTTTTTACCTTTGGTGGGGTTAGTTTTGTTTGTGTGTGTGTGTTTGGTTGGTTGGTTTTGAAACAGCGTCTCTACTCCAGGTTGGCCCAGAATTCCCTCCAGCTCAGGCTGCCCTGGAAGGCAAAGCAGTCACCCTGCCCCAAGTATGGGGTCAGGCGTGAGCCACCATGCCTGGCTGCTTTTTGGTTTTCACATGAGAACCGAGTCCCATCCAGAGGAGAGCAGGCCAGGTCACCGTCTTTGTTCCTCTCTTGCAGTGTGGTAGACTTTCTTGTTGTAGCCCGACTACCTGTGCTCTCTTGGTTTCCACTGAAATAATTTTATTTGCAAGAGAAATAAATTGAAGACGTGTTTGTGATTTAGTTTTGCAAGAATATGTCTTTTAAAAGGGAGTTTTCAAGAAGAAACTAAGATTCCATTTTGAGGTACCCTCACATATGTGAGACAAGCCCCTGAGCTACATCCCCAAGTCTTATTTATATTTGGAGATGGAACCTTGCTAAGTTGTCTGGGGTGGTCTTAGACTACTTGCTGAGACTGCGCCGTAAAGGGCCATTTCAAACCCACGTTTTTCCCCCTCGAGACCTCATTACAATTAGTCTGAGGCAAGATTTACTATTCACACAGTAGTGAAGTTTTTTTTTATTATGAGTGCTTGGCTTTTTTTTTTTTTTCCTCTAATTTAAGGATGAAAATAATGAAGGGAAAAAGTTTTGTTTTTGTTTTTGTTTTTTTTTTTAAAGAAAGTATCATGTAGTTTTTTTCCACCAGAAATGTTTCATAAACATGTACGTTTCGGTAGAGTGAATTTGGCTAGTACACTGAACTTCGCCTCTGACATCCACGACACACATTAAATCCCCTTTGGCGTTCTGGACATCCAGTTACGGCAGTACCCATCCAGGCAGGGACCTTTCTGCTGATGGCTAAGTGACTACTGGAGCTCGTGTGTTTCTGTAAGTGGAGACGATCCTGCGGTCAGGAGAAACTAGGTGTTAGTATTTTTATGCTTTCTGGTGGTTCAGCTCTCCAAAATTTTCTTTTATAACAATCAAAATAGCTTTGTTCACATAACATGTTTATGATTTGGGTGAAAACACGCAACCATTTCCAGGAAACATGGGTTGTGTAGCCAACTCTTTATTTTAATATTCACTGCCACCTTGTGCCTCAACGCTGTATTACATCAGTTTGCTAAGACCGGCACGCTGACGCCTTAACTTTTCGCTGTTTCTGCACTTTGGAGAGATTGCTTTGAATTTCTGTGGAGGTGGATTATTTCATTTGGATATACTTTTCTAAAGATTAAGGTCAGTTTCACAGTACATAAAGTTAATTATTTAGCTAGATTCATTGTGCTATTCTGGTTTCTAAATCCTGATCTAAAGAATTGATTCATCCAACTGACTTATTTGAGGCAGACTTAATGTCTGATCTGCATATAATGAGTCTTTGAAATTGAGCGAATTCCTAATTGAAAACATAATTATTTTTTTTAAAATGCCTGTCAAGTTCTGCTCATGCTGAAATAGTTTGAGACATGGTGACTGGTGTGGAAAAACGGGATGAATCACGGTTTTAATAAGTTGGTGTTCTGAGGCTGGCATTCTAATTTTAGAGGCTTTTGTACAAAGTCTCACTGTCTGTAGCCCAGGACTCAGAGATGCACCTGCCTCTGCCTCTCTAGTAGGACTAAAGGCATGTACTACCATGTGCAGCCTTTTTTGTACCTTTTATTAAAAACAGGACCCATCCCTGAAATTACTTCAGGGTATGTGTCCAAGGTACAACTAACAGTAATGAAAGTGATGTGTGTGTTGCCTTTTTTGTTTTGTTTTGTTTTGTTTTAAGACAGGTTTCTTTGTAGCTTTGGTGCTTGTCCTGGAACTAGCTCTTATAGACCAGGCTGGCTTCGAACTCACAGAGATCTGCCCGCCTCTGCCTCCCAAGCGCTGGGATTAAAGATGTACGCTGCCACCACCTGGCAATGTTGCCTTTTTTAAAAAGGCATTCCAGCAGGGTGGTGGTGGTACACATCTTTAATCCCAGTACTCAGAAGGCAGAGGCAGGTGGATATCTGAGTTTGAAGCCAGCCTGGTCTACAGAGTGAGTTCTAGGACAGCCAGGGCCACACAGAGAAACCCTGTCTCAAGAAAACCCCAACATATCATCATCATAACAATAACAACAAGAATAATAATAAATAAGGCATTCCACAGATTTTTAGCCTAACTCCATTGTAGCTGTGGAATTGGCATAAAGCCCAGTGACAGACATGCCATGGGTGCCCAGACCACTGTCCAGCGGCATCAGCTCTTGACTGTTTAGCATCAAGAGCAGTGAGACTCATAGTTCACGAGGAACTGCTTCTACATTATAAACCACTAATTTTTTTTAAGTGGTCTGGGTTACTAAAACAAAACACTCAGAAACATTCATAGGGACTGGAGAGATGGCTCAGCAGTTAAGAGTCCTGCCTGCTCTTCCAGAGGACCTGGGTCAGTTCTCAGTACCCACACAGCAGCTCACAACTGTAACCCCAAGACCTGACACCCTCACACAGGCATGCATGCAGGCACCAGTGCACCTAAAAAAAAAATAGCCAGGTGTTGATGGTGCACGCCTTTAATCCCAACACTCAGGAGGCAGAGTCAGGTGGATCTCTGAGTTGGAGGCCAGTGTGGTCTATAGAGTGAGTTCAAGGACAGCCAGGGCTACACAGGGAAACTCTGTATCAAAAAGCAAAAAGAAAAGAAAGAAATGTTTGTGAATGGTAGTTTGTATTATAGAATGTAAACTGACTATCCTGGCTAGTGATGAATAGGGCAGAAAAGGACCTCATCCACTCTACAGAAATTAATTGGGGCCTCCATTTTCCGTTAACCTAGTTATAAGATCTTAGGTAAATCATACAATGTCTCAAGAGTTTCTGGGATTTTTAATTTTTTTTTAGATATTTATTTATTTACTTATTTTTTTTAGAATGGGGTTTATGTATCCCTGGCTGTCCTGTAGCTCACCATGTAGACTAGACTGACCTCAAGCTCACGGAGACCCTCCTCTCTCTGCCTCTTGGGTGCTAGGATTAAAGATGAGCGCTACCACACCAACTTCCTTTTTATCTAATGGTGTGAGTCTTTGGCCTACATGCGTGCTTGTGTGCCATGTGTGTGCAGTACCTCCAGGGCCCAGCAGAGAGCATCACAGCCTATGGAACTGGGGTTAGAGATGGTTGTGAGCCACCATGAGGTGCTGGGAATAGATTCTCTAGAAGAGACGTCTTAAGGTTCTCTGTGAGAGTAGTCTGGGCTCCTTTTGCTTTTGTTTTTCCTAAAGTGGAATGATTTATTCTTATTTTTTATATGTATGAGTGTTTTCCTGAATGTATGTATGTGAAACACATGTATGCTTGGTGCCCAAGGAGGCCAGAAGAGGGTGTTTGTTCCCCTAGAACTGGAGTCAAAAAAAGTTGTGAGCCACCATGGAGGTGCTGAGAATTGAACCTGGGTCCTCGGGAAGAACAACCAGTGCTCTTACCAGGGGACCATCATCTCTCCCCTCCCCCTCTGTGTGTGTGTGTGTGTATGGTGTCTGTCTGTCTGTTACTTTCTAAAGTTATTCTTTGACAATTTCATACATGTACACCATGGTGCTGGATTTTATCCATCTCCACCTCCTTTGTGGTTTTGGGTTGTTTCTTGTATCAGTAAGGTGGTCTTATAATACATAACCTAGTTTTAGAATTCCTTTTTAGATGAGTTTGTGAACCATTCATAGTTAACTCCATAGGATTTTTGTGAAAATTAAATGAAAAACCTATAGGAAACGACTGAACCTTAGGCAGATGTGAAGTAGGCTGTCATGTTTGGTTGTCGAACTCAGAGCAACCTGCCTGCCTCTGCCTCCTGCCTGCTGGGATAAAGGCCTATGCCAGCAAGCCCAACTCTAGGACAGGTCTTGAAATGTAATCTTCCTTCAAGGAAAACTGGCTGTATAAATGAGGCTGCAGGATGCGGTCTGTGAACACGGCAGACGTCACTGGGAAGTGTGGATAGATGGATAACCAGAAGGGAAATTCAGTTGTGTTTACTCGCTGGGTGTGTGTGAGCCGTGTGTGAGCCTTTCTTCTAGTGTAACTCAGTTCACCCTCATCATCTAACCCCCTTTCTCCTGCTTCCTCCTGTCTTCCAGTTCCTCACTGCACGGGGCACCCTTCCTGGACCTGGTGACTGACAGGCTGCCCTGGCTCAGTTATCACAGTGCTGATGCTGTCCATTCTAAAGGTACAGTACTGTGATAACTGAAGGATGGCAGCCATCTTGCCTTCCTCCCAAGAAGCCTTCTCACAGAAGATGAAAGAGAACTGGGAAGCAGCCCGCTGGGACGAGACCTTCCTCTTCTAGGCTCCAGGTGGTGATAGCAGGAAATAAAAGGGCCTTGTCGTTTGCCTGGGATGTAAATGCTGTGGTTACTGAGTAGATGGAAGGTCTGTGGAGCCTTGGAGTCTTCGGGAGGCTGGTGTTACCGAAGTCCTAAGGACGAATCAGTATATCTGGAGTGGTAGTGAGAGAAATGAGCCATATTGTAAATGCAGAAGGCAACTTGCTTAACAGCTTCGCACTTAGCCCTGCACTGTTAGATGTTCAGAGTTAAGTAGAGAGGAGATGAGTGTTGGGTGTCAAACAGTATCGATGTCACAGGAAAAAAATTACACCCATGCCTAAGGAAATGGGTAGTGACATGGCGTTTCCAAAACATGTATGTGGAACATCACCTCCACGTGGAAACAGGTTATTTATTCTACTAAGTAAAGGAGGACCACTCTACATGGCAGCACAAATCAGCTTCACAGATACGAAGTTAAAGGTACCAACCAGTGTCATGGTTGTGTGAAAACGTAGACCTTAATAAAAGCATGTGATTTCAGTCCTCGGCATCTTCGAAAGTACCATGGGTGGGGCTGTGAAGATGGCTCTGTCACGTGTATGCAGACATGAGAGGACCTGAGTTTGGACCCCAGCACCCGGGTGAAAATCCAGGCATGGTAACAGGCATTTGCAATCCCCATTCTGGAGGACAGAGACAGACGGTCCCTGGGGCTTCCTGGCCAGCTAGCCTTACTGAATCCCCATGCCATAGTGAGACATGGCAAAAAACAAGGTGGACAGCCCCTGGGAGGAACACTTCAGGTTCTCTCTGGCCTCTCCGTGCATACACACAAGGGCATGTGCATGTAGACATGCACATACATGTAGGAAGGATAGTTGGAATAGAGTAGGGCTGTTAGAGGACCTGGGCTTTATCCCACTCTTCCAGTCAGCCCTCTTGCTGAGGACACTACATATGACGACAAGACAATGAGTACCGCAGGTGATGACATTGTTAGGTCACAGTTCACCATAGGGGCCCAGATGATCACATAGATTGTGTTTTTAGGCTCCACGCTTAAACAGGGTCCTGTGACCTCTTCATAGGCTAACATGTCTGCCTGGGAACCTTCCTCCTTGTGGATGGCTGAGTAGTGAGGGAGCTCAAGGAGTGACTTCTGTGGAATCAGGCCCCATAGCTGCGAGAAGGGTCCAGATGGGCCAGGGGGGGCAAAACCCATGTGACTTTTAGCATATGCTAAAAGTGGACATTGTCACTTTCTCTACCTGGACAGAAGGAGGAAAGCCAGACACTGGTTGCCATCACTGCCTCTCTGCTGGCTTAGTTTCTTTCTTCTTTCCCTTCTCCATCCAAAAAGAAGCCACGCCAGCAGTGACTTGGGTCACACCTGCTTGGCCAGAAACACTGACCGTGTGTACAGCCCAGTGCTTCAAGTGACTTCGCCCGCGCGGTTTCTACATAAACCATGAGCTGGCTAGGCTGCTCTTGACAGAGAGGGAGGGGTCGGTCTTGCAGTTCCTTGGATAGGAACTTTTGACAGAAACTCTGAAAAAAAAAAAAAACGCGAGAAAGCTTTGGGATCGGTGAGTAATTTGAAACCCTCCTACATTTCAGTGTTTTAGCAGGTGGAAAAAAAGCTTGAAGAAGGACTGCTTTTGTAATCCTTGGCTTGCGTGTGGATTTCGCCACCTTCCTGACCTTCCTGTTTTCCCGCTTACTGGTTTTACAAAAATTCATCAGGTCTTTTACTTGCCCGAGCTTGACCCCAGAAGACACATTCATGTGCATGGGACATTGCCGTTGTCTTACTCGTTTTGCTCTTGCTACAGTAAAATGCCCTGACAAGCAAATGGTAGGGAGAAAGGGGTTATTTTATTTTATTAAAGACTTAACTTATTTTTTGTGCTTTGCGTGTATGTCTGTGTGAGGGTGCCAGATTCTCTAGAACTGGAATTAGCTACAAGATGCCATGTGGGTGCAGGGAATTGAAGCGGGGTTCCCTGCAAGAGCCACCTCCCCAGCCCCCAGAAAGGGTTTATTTTAAAATCACAGTTCTAGATTATAGTCTCACCATAGCAGGGGAGCCAAGGCATCAGGAGTTTGAAGCAGCTGGCCACATTCTAATCATAGTCTGGAGAGAGCAATGAGTGTGTGTTCACTAGTGGTCTGTTTACTTCCTGCCTTGTTACACCATCCACGAGTCCCTGCCTAGGGAATGGTACCAAGCAGAATGGGCTGCTCTTCCACTTCAGATAATGTAATCAAAGGATTGCCCCATCCTCAGGCATGCCCAGAAGCTACCTGCCCCCCAGGTGATTCGAGGTTATGTCAAGTTTACAGAACTGTAGCAACAATATTGGCTGTGATTTGGACAGGAGTCAGGCTGAGTCAGGAGAACTGAGGCAGTGACTCTAGATGCTTATCCAGGCCCAGGGTCTTTGAAAACTTTGGGGTTTTCAAAAAGCTGGGTGTGGTACACACCTGTAATCTCAGCTCTCAGGAGGTAAAGTGTGAGGATTACCCATGAGTTCAAAGCCAGTTTGGTGTCTGTGAGCCTGGTCTATAGAGTGCCAGACCAGGCAGGGTTACATACATAGTAAGGTCCTATCTCAACAACAAGAAGAATAAAGGCTTGATGTAAGAAGCTGGTGGGAAGCTCATTACATAGATTTGGTTGATGTGTTCATTACATATCTCTGCATGTCCAAAAGAAGTAAAAAGGGGCTGAGGGAAGATCCTTGAATATCCATATTCATAAATAATCTTATTAGAAGCAAAAGAAGGGGGAAAGCCACCCAAGTGCCCATGGATGGATGAAAGCTGCATTAAGTACAGTAAAATATTAGGCGTTTAAAGAGAAGGGAATTGGGACACACCATCCACCGTGGGTTGACCTTGGTACTATGCTAAGTGAAGGCATAGATAGGGTATGACCAGAAAAGGTTACTGTTACCAGAGTCTGGAACAAGGAGGAAGTGGGGAATTTGTACTAAAGCAGACAAAAGTTTCATTTGGGGAGGGTGATGGTTGCCCAGCATGAATATACTTGACGCCCACAGGATTGCCTGCCTAAAAAGCTAAGTTCTGTGTATATCAACAATAAGACATGTAGGGTGATGATGCTGTTGGATGCCCTGCAACAAGACTGGCATGCTTGCCTCAATTTCAATTGTAAAGATCTCAGAGGTACTATTCAAAGCAGTTAAAATGTAATTGTCATGTCTTTTTGTGTTTAAAGTTCTCAAATCTGTAGCCCCTTGGGTATATTTCCAGACATAAGATGGCTTTAGTTTAGTAAAATAGAAAAACAAGAGCATTAAAAACAGAATGAGAAAGGCCCCGTTCTGCTGGCAAAAGTGAGCAGTGCTGGAATTCAGGCAGTCTCCTTGACTTGGGCTTCTGTGGTACAGTAGTAAAGATAAAAATTACATCCATCTCTTGGGCCTTCGAGTTGGTTCAGTGGGTAAAGGTCCCTGGCAAGTTGCAATCATTTCTCGGAATCTTTGTAAAGGTGGAAAGAAAACCTGGCTCCAAAAAGTTGTCCTCTGGCCTCTACATGTTTGTCCCAGAGCTACATCATCTACACTAATAAATAATGAAAAAATTAAAATTGTATTTATCTTCAAAGTAATGAAGTGTTGCATGTTATTTCTTAGATCATAAACATACAGCATCCATATCTGAGGTAATGGCATATGTTTTATTTTAATGTTTTGGTAATTCTTTTTATAACAAACGTCAGATATGACCAGTTCATTAAATGGGGCATTCTATTCTTGCTCTCTGTCGTTCATGAATGACTTTCCTATTTAAAAAATGTTAATTTTGAAAGAATAAAACCCAAGACTGGAAAGAGAGAAGAAAACTATTTTTTAAAAAAGACTAATTGTGAGATACTTTGGTGAGTGTATTTGGGACGGTGTGCGGCTCAACACAGGGGAAGCCCTCTGGAGCACAGAACCCCCCACATGTCCAGGAGACCACAATTAAGGCTGTGTTTGACCACCATAGACGAAGAGGCACTTCTTAGGCACTGTGTCGTCAAGTGCATCCACATTAAACATGGTGAAGCCCCGGCTCTTTGAGATACGCATCCTCTGGCGGCCCTGGATTTGTCTCTGTGGGGCATTTGTTACACGCGTCTTAATCTGTAGCTTGATGCAGAGTGACATGGTGCCCAACAGAAGCAGCAGGCTGGATTCACTACTTAGGAAGCTGTTACTTACAACTTTGCATACCAGACCCAGTGAAGAAGTGATCGACCTAACTTAAAAAAAAAATTCAGCCAAGGGACTGGAGAGATGACTTAGGGGTTAAGAGCACTGGCTGCTCTTCAGAGTACCTGCATTCAATTCCCAGCACCCACGTGGAAGCTCACAACTGTCAGGTACTCTGTTCTAGGGGATCTGGCTCCCTTGCATGGAGATACCTGCAGACAAAACACCAATGCCCATAAAACAGGAATACATAAATTATAAAAATATTTTTAAAAAGCCAACCAGTGGTGGTGGCATATGCCTTTAATTCCAGCAATTGGGAGACAAAGGCAGGAGAATATGAGTTCAAGGTCAGCCTAGTCTGCAAAGCAAGTCCCAGCACAGCCAGGGCTGCAAAGAGAAACCCTGTCTCAAAAATACAAACAAAAAAAGCCACGCTAGTTGGGATACTGGGCCACCCTTACCAGACCACTGGGCCTTCTACAACAGTCAGCACTGGAGTCGGAGCAAATTGCTAACTTTTTGTTTTGTTTTTCTTTTGGGCAGCTAACTCTTTGTTAATGCCACACAGACTTCAAATGTTTTGCTGTGCCTAGAACATTGCCTAAACCCTTGTAATAGCGAGTTAATTATCTTGTGACAAGCTATTGTTCTTAAATTTTACTGCTTTCTGATCAGTTGCTCTTTGGGGCAACAAGCAGCTTATACTTCGGACTTTCCATTGTTAATTTTGTGTAGGTTTTGTTTTGTTTTTGAGAAAGTCTTAATGTAGCCCAGGCTCACTGGTGATGACCTTGAACTGAAGATTCTTCTATAGCGTCTTAGTGTAAAGCACTCTGTCCGCTCTACTCTCTACAGTGTGCGAGCCAGGAACTAAGCTGGAGACTTGAAAACATACAAACACAGACAGAGACACGAGGACACTGGTCATCCTTGATGCAAGAATGGCAACTGTTTTCTTCTCGGGGCAGCTTATATAGGGCTCTGGCCACGCCCCAGCTCTCAGGATCTTTCAGCTGCAGAACCCACCAGAATTTACTCCCCTGCCATCAGGGTCTCATGCTCAGAGCAGCTGCAGGCACAGCCAAAGTTGTTTTGCTCAGTTGACTCCAGCAGACAAAGAAAGTCAAGGGGCCAGGGGGCTGCAGCCCCTAACAGCTTCCTCTTTTCTATATAATTAGACCAGGCCTGCCTTGGGTTGCAGAAGCACATGACAGGCTCCTGTCTTGCCCATCTCTGGCTTACTGGTCTTTCCGTAGCCTGCTAACCCATACTGCTCTCGAAGGAAGCCCACTTTCTTGGGCAAATAGTGATTTTTTACATCACCACTGCTGCTACTGACACCTGTTGTAGAGGCAGAGCAACAGAAACCCTCCAGCTATGGAGTTCCTAAGGGCAGCTGTTAAGCAAGCCTAGGCCACAGAGGAGTGGCTGGACTGGCATGGGCGTGGCACAAATGTAATGAAAGGAAAGAGAGCAGCCAACCATATACGCCAACTGCTCTTATAATAGGAGGTCTATAGGTCAAACCGAAAAATGCCCTGGCGAAAATTATATAGGGAATTCTGTATCTCTAAGGCAATGGTAATCTGTCTGGATAGGGGGTAAGCAGTGCTAGCCACAGCAGTCTGACTGGTGGCAATCCTAGTTGTCTTAGAGGCCACAGTGGTGACAATAGCAGCCACCCACGGTGATGGTGATCCCCAAGTCTCGGCCAGGATGGCTCAGCACCAGTTTGACTCAATGGAACAGCAAACTGGTTCTGCACCAAGCCCAGAACCCAGACCACAGCGGCAGTCATCTCGTTAGCCCAACAGCTGTTCAAAAGACACAAAACTTGAGAACAATTAAGGGTAGAATCATTAATTAGCCACAGACAGCCACATGAGAAGACCTATTTTGGCTCTGGTTTTCCATCTTGCTGTGCTATTAAGGTAGAATCCTGCACAGCCAGGGGTCCAAAATTTAAACAGGCATGAAGTCCACAGAGATACCATCCCGTAAAGGTAGACACTACACCACACTGGGCTGGATTCGGGAAACGAAACTCCTGAGACTCCTTGCTAACATTCTTGTAAAGTGATCATGGTCCCCGTCACCACAATGAATAATGCTCTCTGGCCATAAGTCATAGTAGAAAATTCAGCAAAAATAAAACACAAACTGCCAGATAGTCTCCATAACTGATCCTCCTGCCTTTGCCTCCTTTAACAAATCCTACCAACATAACTGACCAGAGCATCAGGCGGGCTTGGAGACCTTCCACGGCTACTGTGTGGGTCCCTCAGGTAAGCTTGCTACTTCTTAAGCCTTTTCCATACGCTGCGCGCAGATGGGGTCTGAGCCACTCTGGCCCGCCCCAGCTCCAGCACTTGTTGCCCTGGTCACCAATGTTCCTAGCACCACCTGCAGCAGCTCCACCAGGCCAGGCACTGACTGGGCCAGGGTGGCGGGCCACCTGTGCTGGGAGCTGGTAGGCAGGCTTGCTCTCGGGAATCTCCAAAGGGGCCCAAGCTCGCCGCCTCCACACTGCGTGCTGCTCGTCCCAGCCAGGCCCACAATGGCAGACAGGCTCTGGAGCCCTAATTTCTCCAGTAAACAATCATCTAGGGGATTTGGGTGTTTTTTTTCTCTGTAAACTACTTCCTGCTGTTTATTGGGTGAAGTATCTTTGGGGGTATTCACAGGGACATTTCAGGGGGGTCTTAGTTCATCAAACCACATTAGCCTAGAATGAATCCACAGGTTCTCATTCTCTGTGGAAACAAAAGCAGAACCTCTTTTCCAAAGCAACCAATCCATAGGCCCGTCTTTTACAGTCAAGATACCTTTCTTAGCAGTTCCCAGACTCAAATGTCTTTCTCCAGCCAAAAAACCAAGACAACACAGTAATATACATAATACAAATTCTCTGTGCATGTTCCATCTTTACATGGCTTATTATTATTTACTCTGTCTCTTTAAAAACTTACTCTTTCTCTTCCATTCTTTTAGTCTGACTGTGTATACTCTGTCTCTTTAAAAACTTACTCTTTTTCTTCCATTCTTCTTGAGGCCTTCAATTCACCCTCCCACCTCCTCTTTATTACTTTCCTGTTGGCCAACCTTCTGGAGGGCGTCCCTCAGAGAACCCCTAGTTCCCAGTCTTAGCAGTGCCTCCTGCTGTGGGGCCTGCACCACCTGGAACCACTATTGGGCAAGAGCCTGGGGATGAAACACATAGACACATACCCATCTTCAATCTACCCTCACCATTCCCGAGGGCGATCTCTCAGCCTTTCCTTAGTTCCCCGATCTCGCTGGGAGCCTCCACTTGTAAAACACCATGTCTGCTCTATGTTCTATGGTATGCGAGCTGGGAACTAGGCTGAAGACTTAAAAACATATAAACACACACACAGACAGAGACATGGGGACACCAGTCATCCTTGATGCAAGAATGCCAACTTTATTATGCTCAGGGGCAGATTATATAAGACTTTGGCCACACCTCAGCTCTCAGGATCAGCTGCAGGCCTCACCGGAACCCATTCCCCTGCCATCAGGGTCTCGTGCTCAGAGCGACTGCAGGCACAGGTAAACAAGTTGTTTTGCTCAGTTCACTCCAGCAGGCAAAGGGTCTGAGGCAGGCAAAGAAAGTAAAGGGGCCAGAGGTCTGCAGCCCCTAACATCTTAGTTTGGGTTTCCATTGCTATGAAGAAGCATCATGACCACAGCAACTCTTGTAAAGAAGATATTTAATTGGGGTGGCTTGCTTACAGTTTCAGCATTCATTATTGTAACATGAGGGCCGGCTTGTTGGGGTATCTGTTCCCGCCCGGTACCCCACAAGCGGCAAGTCCCAGAGAAAATCAATCACACAGAGATCTCTATAAGTTATAAACTGATTGGCCCATTAGGTCAGGCTTCTTATTAGTCCTTGTAACTTACAGTAATCCATTATCATTATCTATGTTAGCCACACGGCTCAGTACCTTTCTCAGCTGGGCAGGCTACATCCTGCCTCTTCGGTGGTCTGCGCAGGAGTGGCAGAGGGAGCTTCCTGCTTCCTAGACTACTCCCAGTCTCTTTGCTCTCCCGCCTCTACTGCCTGCCTGGCCACGTTATCATGCTGGGGAGCATGGCGGCATATAGACAGACATGATATTGGAGGAACAGCTGAGAGTCCTGCAGCTTGCAGGCAACAGGAAGTCACCTAAAACCCTGGGCTTTGTCCTAAGCATAGGAAATCTCAGGCCCCACCCGCACAGTGGCACACTTCCTCCAACAAGGTCATAGCCATGCCAAGAAAGCCACACCTCCTAAGAAGGCCACTCCCTGAAATTCTGGGGGCCAATTGTATTCAAACTACCACATATGCCTTCCAAATCCTGGGATTACAGGCCTGCAACAACTTACCGTTTCATACAG